AGGTTGTTGTGTTGCATTTTATGAGAGTATGCAGGTCAATTCAACAAAACAGTTCTTATCTTTAGCTAAACTTCCTTGTCTTTTACAGCTGCTGAATTTACATCTGTGTGTCTAAACAAGTCTTTCAACCTGGGCTTCCTGTCCTTCAGTAACTTATGAAATTTTTCCTGATTGCAGTGTTAGCATGTCAAAGACAGATCTGGGTGAGAATTTAGTTCATTTTCTTTTGCAATTCACATGTCTTTATACATTGGATGGAAAGAATTCAAATATCTTTATCTATATATAGACACATAGTAAATGCATATTGCAGAAAGCAAAGCTGACAGGTTTGTCCATCATGGCAGAGGACTTGGAAGCTTTTGAAGCTTTGTGTATTAAACCACATTTGTGGTATGCAATTAAGGTTTATTTATTTAAAACATCTGCAGGCCACCCAATTGCGCTGATACTTTTTTCTGAGAGGATCCTTATTTTTATAGGTGTACAGTGTGGTTCCTACTGTGTATTGGGGCAGCTGCACTAATCAAATTTAGCCAGTGCAATTGGGTGAGAAGCTTGTTTGTTCAAGAACTTACCAAGGATTGCAAATGACTTCATGAAGCCATGGATAGTCTATTATAGAGGGAAATAAGGGGACACAGCGAAAATCTAAACTGCTTTGGGGCACAAAGGATACCTCTCACTACTTCAATGAAGAATTTAATATTTATTTTAATGATATTAGCACAATAAACTCACACAGTAGCATTGATTCTGTACTTATTTAACAAAATACATTTATAGCAATTTACAAATAGTTTTCCTTTTCATTTTAAAACAGTGCATAACATTGTATTAGAACACAATACTTTATATAGAATTCTCATTTTAAAACATATTTTGTATTTTACCCAATTTATTTATTTTTTTCTTAGTAAAGCACAGCCTAACAAAGAAATTGGTGCCCATTTTAGCAAGTAAGAAAAACAAAAACCCTAGAAGATGCCACCTGTCCATTTATTTGATTTGTTTGAAATTAAGGTATCAGTGGAATGTAAACAAAGGTTTATTTTACAAAAGGCTCCATAAATGATATAGACACAGAACTCACACAGAGTTCCATTGTATATCTTCATCACATTGTATTTGTTCTTGAACATAATCATGTTTCTGAGAAGCCATTATTAAAAAAGAGTAGCCTTTGGCACTTCTGAGTAAAAAAAGAGTATTCTCAATATTTTATGTAAATAATGTGATTACAATGATTCTGCAAGTGCTTTAAAATCGTTTGTTGTAGTAAATAGGAAAAAGTTTAGATAGGAAAAATAGCACACTGCACTCGAAAGAAGTGCAGTAAATTTCTGAGTCTGAAAGCAACTCATGATACCTTTAATATATGGTAGGTGAACCAAAACAAAGCAAAAAAGTATATTAAAAAATGACTACTTCCACCAAAAACTCTCCCACCCATATGTGCTGTGACAATATAAGCTGCTTCTCTAGAAGGGCTATTTTCTAGTCCTTGCATTATTGCAGTTACATAGCAATCCTGGAGACACTTACCTGGAAGTAAGTCCCATTGAACTCAATGGAACTTACGTCTGAGCAGACCTGCCAAGGATTGTGTTGCTGATGGGCATTTCTTTTTCTTAGGTTAATAACTTATTAACCTCTGTGCTCTCACATTCTATTCTAGACTAGCAGTGACTGAGTCCTACCTATGCTTCAGAAGACCTTTCAACTTGGTCTGCTAAACTAAGCTATCATCCTTCATCAAGCCAAATGTTTCCCCACTATAAAAAGGTGGTAGTGGTAGGAAAAAAAGATAAATACCAAACATTTGCAGATCTGCAACTTTGTTTACAAAAATGCTTGTAAATACTGTAAATGGAAAACAATGCCCCAATCCAGCTAGGGGAATGCTTATCCAGACCTCTAGGCAGATTTGGGATCTGTAGATGCAAGAGGGTATTTGACAGAAAGATCCATTAGCTAGATGCCTGCATCCAGCAATCCGGGCTGCATGCTCGGTTCCTGAGCTGGATTGGGAGTTACATGAGCACAGGGTTGGTGGAACTGGGGAATAATACACCTGGATGTGTCTCTCAAGATACAGCCCTCATTAGCTCAAAGTGGTGTGGGTTAATAGTGCCTTCCCACTGAATGCACCACTAGATGCTCTCCAGACATGGTGCAGTATATTAGCATATGAATGATGACTGCTTGCAAGTGTGGCATGTGGCTAACAATGGATTTCTGAGCTGTTAATCACTGTCTTCTTGTAGGAGGGTGCCCAGGTTCCATTGCACTCATGGCGATATCAAGGATCCTTGGGAGAAATATTGGGAAGGACCTATATTTCAACACCCCGGAGAACCACTGCTACCTGGCAAGACTATGATAGATGGTGTAGTGTCTAACACAGTAAACTCTGGTTTAAATCCTTGCTTTGTGGTTGAACTCTCTGGGGCTCCTTAGGTAAGTCAGTATTTCTTTTCTTCACAGAATTGCTGTGAGGATAAGATGCCACTCTGAGCTACTTGGAAGGAAGGTAGCATAGAAACATGCAAGGGGAGGGGAAGAGTAATTTCAGCCAAACACGCCCTATTTGGGTATAAATATCCAAAAATGTTAGCATCCAAATATTTTGTTAACTGGACTGTGGATCAGGCCACATGTGTCCCAAATGGAAGATGCTCCCCTGACTTCCTGTTGGCTACAGCAAGGGATGCCTGGAGAATCTGAACATGGCCAATGCTGCTATGAACTGACCTATCCACCCTCCCTGGTCACTGTACAGATTGCAAACAAAGTTATTCAACAAGTTTCACACTTCCCAAATGTCCTAAAGCAGGTCTTCACTCCAAAAAAAGTTTAAAAACATGGTTTAAAATATGTATCCATAAAGAAAATATATGTAAAAATGTGAATTTTGAGAGAAATGTTTAGAAATGTATATTTTAATACCTATATAAATTTGAATTTCTGCAGGGTTTAACAATATGAAGAACATAGGAACAGGGCAGGATAAACCCAGAACTGAACATGGAGAGCAACCAGAACTAGGGAAAGATAAATTTGTCCATCCCTAGATGTCACTACCACTAAGCAACCGCAGAGAAAGCTGTATCTCTTTCAAAATATGGTTTGGTATTCTTGCCAGTTGCAAACTAGTCACCTTCCTTAAAAAAAAGTCTCAGTGGCTTCCCACATCCTCAAGGTGAATCCATGGGAAGGAAAAATATTTCAGATGCCTACCTGAAAATTATATTTAATGAGCTATTCATTGAAAGTAGCTTGTTATTCAGTGCAGCATTTGTACATTAATTTGACTGTTATAAACAATTCAGAAATGTAAAATAAAGACTACCCAGTGAACATGCTATGGGTAATATAGTGGCCATTATGTCCCAAGCCAAACAACTAAGGCAAACATGTCCTGATATGAGCTTCAGTGTGGAGCTTTTCATCAGTGTTTTTCCCATGTGATAGGACCAGCCTGACCTTTGGTCCAAGGTAACAAGCCTCCAGAGACTACCAGGTAGCCAGCTACCAGGTGTCTCCATCACTGCTGCCACCTTCATCAGGGTTACCATCTGCCATCTGGGATATTAAGCATTCAAGAAAGCTACTCCACAGTGCAGGAATGTAAGAGTAAAATACCGTGCTTGCTTAATATCACTTTGCTCTGAGGGCAAAAGACTCATCTAAGATGGGTTGTGGCAACATGCACATCAAGGGACTGCATTCCTATCATTTCATTTCTGCCTTCGTCACTGATAGATGTTTTACCTGTCCAAAGGAGGACAAGATAAGTATGATATGATTGCCTTCTGTTCTCCAATCATGCTCCCTAGTTAATCCCAGAAGCATAAAATGCACTTCTGGAAGGACGAGAAAGGAGGGTCCTTCCAGTCTAGCCTCATCTAGGAAGTTCCAATTCTTAAGGCATACCTGCTAATTGATTAGGCAGTCTCACTTGTAATATTATTTTCCTCTTTACAACTCAGTTGCAATTCTTAACATGAAACACTAATTTGTAAATGTGAAAATTAAAAAAGAAAAGATCTGCAATGAGACAAATTGAGAAATTGTTTACAAAAATGAAGAATATGTTGAATTAATGCTGTAAAAGATATCTACTAAGAAACAACAACAACAACAACACAATATTTAAACTAGTCCCAAGTTAGCTCACTAAGAAGCAACCCCTGTGTTTGTAGCACCTGTAATGAAACAAAGTTTGGATAGAAGAAAAAATAACCAGGAGAGAGAATGATTCTATTTTCATGAGACATCATCCACTTTTTGTTTTGTTCTAGTCAACATTTCAAAGAACTACACAAAACCTTTGCAATCTTTTAAAGTGAAAGTTTCACTATAATAAAGCTGCCAATGTTTTTCTATTCTAAATGAATGCAGCCAGCATTGCATTTTCAGTAATATTACTTGGAAAGGAGTTACACATCAAAATGTCATGTGTCTGTAGAGAGGAACAGTTTAGAGTTTGTAATTTTTCTAAAAATGTAAAGTTAGAATCAGCACCGACTTGTATTAAATTTTGGTGCAAAACCTGCAAAGGTGAAGTACAACACCGGTACAGCTTTTACTTTAAAAAAAGCCCCAAAATCATCCACCTCCCATTTGTCCTTGGACAAATATAGATCAAAAAGTTGGCACATTCTGGAAATAAGGTGTCGATATATTTAAGATTGCTGTTTTTGTTGACAATCGTTCCCACTGGAGAACCATTTTGAGTCTGGAGAAAAAAAAACCCAACCCCATAAGGAGATATCCCATTCATTAGGTTCTTATATTGTGCTTTTCCCCCCTGCAACATGAAATCCACAAATTCATGCACAATCACTACACATCAGCAACATCCATAAACGGTCAGGCTGATGGTCGATATTTTGGCACATCAAGAATATTTCGGCATCAGCTCAAAAAATGAAAAAGAGAGCACAAAGCTTGTAACAAAGGGTATCGATTGCCTGGTTCAGCTGATGGACCAGCCCTCACTCTTTGTAAGCTCTCGTGGGAGAAGTTCCCTTGTAGAAGATGTTCCTGGTGTTCTCTGGGCTGCTGCCCCGTTCAGGGATTAAAATGATGTTACCTTTTCTCCGAAGTGTTGAATCGCGACTGGAGGAAATGGACAGAGTCTCCGAGCCAATCTCACTACCTTCCACAGGGGTGACCCTGATTGTGGTTATCCCATGATGGTGGTGCTCCGTGTTATCAAGGTTACTTCTTTTTCTGTCTCCTGATCCATAACTGTCTTTCAAAGACTCACAACTCTCAGAGTCTCTGTTGAGATCATTGAGCTCATAGGTTTGACGAAGGCTTCCTTTCTCAGGTGCTTTCCATTTCCATGAGCCACTCCCTTCCCCCTCTGATGGCATCTGAATGATGGGCCTATTGTTTTCTGGGTGGGCCTCCACTCTTACAATGCCACTTGGCTCGTGATCTGTCAAGGTTTTGTAACGGATTGATCCAGTACAGGTGACCGTGCTCCCATCAGAGCTCTTCGGGCTGCCCTGAAGGACACCTTGTTGTTTTGACATGGCTATGACCTGCATGATCCTTGGCTGGCTGTTGCTTCTGCATCCAACAGTCTTCTCGGCGGCTTTCAGCCACTTGGCACGAGCTGAGCTTGTTTTTGGAGATGTATTCACATTCTCCTGTGTCTCTTCGGGAATATGCACTAGTTGTGAAGAACCTGGCCGTGACTGAATAGAAACCCGTGGGCCACCAGAAAGGCCCGCACTATTACAGCCTGGCATACTACCAGGCTGAAGTTTCAGGTACTGATTGGGAGGGCCATGGTGATCTCCATTAACTCCCACTCTTGATGGTTCAGAGCTTGATCTCATTTCAATAGCTCTAGGTGGTGACTGTCCAGAATCTGTCTCTATAACCTGCAAAGACAACTTCCGACTTTCGTTCTTGTTCTTCCACTGGGAAAGTAGCTGCTTCGAACGGGCCGAATCCATGGATGCATGAATTGTTGTGTTCCGTCGAGCTGACTCTTCCACTGCAGGTGTGTTGGCTCTTGGCAATGTGTTGCTGAAGGTGACCATGTTCTCCTTTCCCATTGGACTTCGCGGTGTTATAATCTCCACATCAGCATTTGTTCTTTTGAGGTTAGTCAGGGAGCCAGTGTCTCTGTTGTTCCTTGTCAAGATACTCTCAGCATGATGAGTTGAGATGGCATTGTTGCTGCTACCATTTTTCCCTGGTAAAATCTGACTAGCATCTTGACTCAGGTCAGTCAAAGACCTTAATGGTTCTCGGTGTGGGTTTGGATGAAACAGGTTGTCTTCACTTGGCAGAAAGTTCCCCACAGCATAAAAACCCTGTTAGTGGGAGAAAAAACAGGACTCTGTTATGGAAAACAAGTGTTCCTAGGCTTTCTGACTATGGACAGCTCGTTTCTTATGCTTGTTGCTGCAGGTGCAGCCTGGTGTCATTGTATCTATTCCCGTTTTTTAATGTGGTATGACTCAGGACAACCCTCCCAATGAGAAGCTGAATCCTTCACTGCCTGTTGTAGGATCTTGAAGAATGGAAAAGCAGGTTGCTTACCTGTAACTGATGTTCGAGTGGCCATCTGTGCATCACACATATGGGTGCTGCGCCTGCACAGTGCTTAAGGCCGGAAAGATTAGAAAGCTAACAGTTTTTGGCCAGAAACGCCGCTCCCCTCCCCCTCCATACTATAAATAGAGCGGAGTGTCTGCCATTTTCTCAGTCTTTGTAAAACCGAATGTTCGCCCCCTCTCGGGAGAAAGATATATTACCAAAAAAAAAAAAAAAAAAAATTATTGCAGACCATGACTATCAATAAGACATGGTACCGACAGAAAGCATCCACTCACCGACACCAAGTGGGGCAGGCGGGTGGGTTGTGTGAATGCACAGATGGCCACTCGAAGAACATCAGTTACAGGATAGCAACCTGCTTTTCTTTGTCATGGCCTCTGTGCATCACACATATGGGTGGCTAGCAAGCTTACCAGACTCGGAGGAGGGCAGTGTTGTCAGTGAAGGATAGCGGAAAGGACTGCTCTGCCAAAGGAACAATCCTGTCTGGCATGCACATCAAGACGATAATGCTTGGCAAAAGTACATGGAGCAGCCCAAGTTGCAGCTCAGCAGATGTCCTGAATTGGGATTCCCGCGGCAAAGGCAGATGAAGCCGCTACTGCTCTCGTGGAGTGACCCCTTGGAGCGACAAGTAAGTCCATCTTGGCAAGTTGATATGCCAAAACAATAGTTTGTACAATCCATTTTGAAGGTCTCTGCAATGTGACCGGAGAGCCCTTGTCTTGTTCAGAATATTTCATGAAGAGTCGATTAGAACGCCAAAAAGACTCTGTGCGTAATCTGTAGAAAGCCAAGCAATGCTGCACATCGAGGGTATGTAGTGATCTTTCAATCGGGTTAAATGGTGATGGAAAAAAAGCAGGTAAGATGATCTCTTGATTCATATGGAACAGAGTAGCTACTTTAGGTAAAAATGTTGAATCCATCCAAAGAACCACCTTTTCTTTATGGAAATTCAAATACGGTGGATCTACTCGAAGAGCACAAAGTTCACTAGCTCTCCGAGCCGACGTGATGGCTATGAGAAAGGCCGTCTTCCAGGATATGAGACGTAAGTCAATAGTCGCCAAAGGTTCAAAGGGAGCTCTGGTAAGTGCCTGAAGTACAACTGAGAGACTCCAAGTAAGCATGACAGGGCAAATTGATGGGTGAAGATTATGCAGTCCTTTGATGAATCATCTAACTATTGGTTGTGAGAAGACCGATGAACCTTGTATCACCCCACGGTAATGTGAAATCGCAGCTGCATAAACCTTTAAAGACGAAGGTTTAAGTCCCGAACAATGTAGTTCTAATAGAAACTGTAATATGTTCTCTATAGAAACCAATTCAGGAGCAAATGAATGGGATTCAGTGAAAGATGAGAATCGATGCGACTTCACTGCATAAGATCTCCGTGTTGACGGTCGTAGAGCAGATTCAAGAATCCTCTGAATATCTGGATCAGGAATGCCCAATCCCGAGGTAACTCCCATTGGGTCCGAGGAAGTAAGCAGCGCCTTGGTTCTGTAAATGGGAGTTTCAGGTGCTCGAGATGTTGTCGGTATCGAGTCGGTATCGAGGGTCAGCGGATCCGCCACGCTGTGAGGTTCAGAGAAGCTAGATCTGGGTGACGAACTGCTCCGTCTTGTTGCATTATTAGATGTGGTATTGATGGGAGATGAAGAAAGGTGTTGTCTGACAGCTGTAGAAGAGTGGAGAACCACGGTTGATGGGGCCACCAGGGAGTAATCAAAATTCCCGTGGCGTTGTCGTGGGCAATCTTCGATACTACTTTCGTTAAGAGTGGAATCGGAGGGAAAGCATAAAAGTTGATGCTGCCCCATGGGATCATAAGGGCATCTCCTGCTGATTCCGGTCTGATGCCTGCCCTGGAGCAGAACATTTCGCATACCCTGTTCGCATGGGTAGCGAACAAGTCCATGTCTGGGTGTCCCCATCAACGGAAAAGCTGATTGCAAATCTGTCGATCCAACTCCCACTCGTGAGTTGTCGACATTTGCCTGCTCAACATGTCGGCTTCTTCATTGTCAGTACCAGCTAGATGAACCGCCAGAAGAGTTATGTCCCTCGGGATGCACCAGTCCCAAATCCTCATCGACAGCCGAGCCAGGGCGGCCGATTTCGTTCTGTCCTGTTTGTTCACATAGAACACAGCAGCTATGCTGTTGGATGCGATCTGAACTACTTGTCGCCGAAGCGTATCCTCGAAAGATCGAAGAGCTTTGAAGATCACTAACAGTTCGAGAAAATTGATGTGTCTGGTTGATTCCTGTTGGTCCCAAGTGCCCTGAGTGCGAAGTCCTGCACATAGAGCACCCCAATCGATCAACAATGCATCGGTGTAAAGAGTCGGTTGGTTGAGGCGGTCGAAATGGGACACCCACATTCAAGTTGTCTGGTATTGTGCACCATGTCAAAGAATGTAGAACAGACAGTGGGAGTCGGATTGGTTTGTTAGGTGACTCCCGCTGTGGATGAAACATTCTGTTGAAGCACAGCTGAAGAGGTCATAGTCGAAGTCTGGCATATGGAACGATGGCAACTGAAGCAGCCATATGGCCCAGAAGCTTTTGAACAGAAAAAGCAGGTACAGTCCGGTCTTGTCGAATCCGATGAATCCATGAGCAAAGACTGTCTTGGCGATTCGGAGGAAGAAAAGCCCTCACTAGGGTAGAATCGAGATGAACTCCAATGAAGTCGATCACCTGCGCGGGAACAAGGGACAATTTTTCATGATTAATACGCAGTCCCAGATCATCCAGCAGAGCATAAGTTGTATCGACGGCTGAAAGAAGACCATCCTGGGTCTGGGAAACTATTAGCCAGTCGTCTAGGTAAGGGTATACTTGGATACCCTGAAGCTGAAGGTGCGCGCACACTGGAGCCATGCATTTTGTGAATACTCGTGGAGCAGTGGCTAATCCAAATGAGAGGACATTAAATTCGAATATGTCGGACCCGACAGTGAAGTGTAAGAGATGCCTATGACAAGGATGAATAGAGATGTGAATGTAGGCATCTCTCAAGTCCAGGGAGGTGAACCAATCCTCTCTCTTCACCAACGGAAGGATATTTGAAGGGTGGTCATCCGAAATTTCTTGGGTTTGATAAACCTATTAATATCTCGCAAGTCCAGGATTGGATGGAGACCACCATCCTGTTTAGGGACTGTAAAATATCTTGAATAGAATCCTTGAAGTCCCTCAGAACAAGAGATGTGATGAATCGCTCCTTTATGAAGTAGTTGGCGAACTTCGTCTAGTAACACCGGCAAGCGTGGTGTAAATCGAATCGGGCTTGACGGAGGAACGATGTCGAATTCTATTCTGTATCCGAGCTGGATGATGGATAAAACCCACCGATCAGATGTGATGGACTCCCAAATGGGGAGTCGGCTTTGCAGCCGATCCCCAAATGGGAGGGAGAAGGATGGGAGATGGAGAGGAGGAGAGGTTCACTGGGCCCGTCAGCGCTGACGCTTGTCTGAGTCAAAGCGGCGACGGCCTTGCTGGAACCGTTGCTGCGGCTGTTGTTTTCGACGCTGCTGGCACTGTTGAAATTGCTGCCTGGGTGGGAACTGCTGGCGGTACGATGGACAAGACCAGGACCACTTACGTCTCGGCTGGGTCGGAATTTCCATTCAACGCGCTGTCATCCATGACTCATGGATGGGTTTTAACTTATGGTCTGTCCTGGCATGGTATAGTCCTGATCCCTCAAGCAGCATCTCGTCAATCTGCCACTTCATCTCCTCTGGGAAATTACAGCTTCTGAGCCATGCATGTCGACGGAGAGAGATGGCACTGACAAGAGCTCTGGAATTGGTGTCGACATGATGCCGCGCTGTTGAAAGCTGCTGGATGGCAACTTGCATGGCTTCTTTGATGAAGACCTTGGCCAAGCCTCCCTGATGGTCGAGCAGAGAAGCGGCGATGTTGTCGAGCTTCTGCATTATAAAATATTGATATCTGGCAAGCGTCGCCTCGTAGTTTGAAATACGAAGGCCGAGTCCACAGGCCGCATAGACTTGGTGTGCCAGCATATCAATTTTTCTGCCCTCCTTATCACGAGGAGCTGTGTGGCCCCTCAATTCTCTGCCCTGGGATGACTCAACAACTACCGAGTTCAGTTTTGGATGGTGCAGGAGGAATGGTATATCCTGCTCCCGAACTTGGTACATCGCTTCATAGTGCCGTGATGTGGCCTGTGGCTGGGCTGGCAGGTCCCAGGGCTGAACCATCGCCTGTCGGAATGTGGCTATCAGGGGCAGCACAATGGCTGCTGACTGCTCGCCCCTAACGTAAAATTTGTCAGTGCTAGGATCGGCCTGATGTTGTGCCTCGATCTCTAGCGACCGAACAAGTCTCGACATCAATTCCCCAAAGGTGATGTGGGGCTCCTCTGGAGATCCTGGGCCTTGCAATGTGATGGCCACATCCGGGGAAGTAGAGTCTGCCTCCAACTCGTCCAAATCGGCCTCATAGCGGTAAGGTCCGCTTGATGAGGAGTTCCCTGGCGATGTGGGGTGTCTCTGCTCCGCACATCCAGATGTGGACGGGGCCTCTCTCAGAACCGGTGGTGATAGACGGTCCCGTGTTAATGGGTAGAATCTGAAAGAATGGTAGTCCTCCCAACCCGTGTAACTTCCATAATGGGGTTGGTCCCATTCCTCCATATGTTGGTCAGCAGAACGACGCCGGTACCGTGGCGGAGAAACAGAAGATTCCGTGGCTGGTCTAGAGGGCGGCATCGGCGTGGGCGAGTGAACTCTCGGTGGGGAGCCATGGATTTCCCCATCCGAAATCGACTCACGCAATGGTGCCTCAGGTTGTTCGGGAGATGCACTTTCCGCACGTGCAACCCGTCTAGGGGACCCTGGCAGAGTAACCTGCATAGCAGATTGTAGGGTCAGTCCTGATGGGGTCAGGACCGTTGCAGCTGCCAGGACCGAGGGCACTGATGAACCCGAGTCACGATGTTTAGTGTGGCTGGGTTTCTTCGCCTTGTGGGCTGTCTTTTCTGCTTTGTCCTTTCTTGCCTTTCTGTGGCTGGAGGACTTATCCGAGCTGCCATGTTTTCTCTTCTCCCTTTGTTTACGAGGGAGAGAAGGGAGTTGTCCCAGGGCGCGGTGGAGGCGTGGCCGAGGCAGAGGTAGGGTTCTGTAGAGGCGCGGCCGAGGCAGAACCAGATTTTGTAACCAACTGGTCTGACTGCGTAAGGGCCTGGTCCCAAAGCAGCTTTCGCAGGCAGTTTTCCCAATTTTTCTGGGCCTGCTTAGTAAAGGCCAAGCAGTGGACACTCTTGTCCGTTCTGTGCCCCTCGCCTAAGCAAAGGAGACACAGATCGTGCGGGTCAGCAGGGGACTTTTTAGACCCACACTTGGCACATTTACGAAACGCTGCTCGCTGCGCCATCGGAAAATGGAAAGGGAGAAGATAGTGAAGAGGGAAAGATAATCTTTTTGTTTTTTGTTTTTTTTCGAAAGAAGAACGAGAGAGATAATCGAACAGGGGAGAAAAAACTTGGAACTACAGGAGAACGATTAACAAGAACAGGGAACAAAGGGATCAATAATGTGAGAGCGAAGAGGCACAAGGCACAGCGAACGGCGGTCGCAAAAGACTGAGAAAATGGCAGACACTCTGCTCTATTTATAGTATGGAGAGGGAGGGGAGCAGAGTTTCCCGCCAAAAACCGTTAGCTTTCTAATCTTTCCGGCCTTAGGCACTGCGCAGGCGCAGCACCCATATGTGTGATGTACAGAGGCCACGACGAAGAACAAATTTTCCAGCACCCAGAAGAGCCAAAGAAGGACATGGGGATGGTGCAGAAAGCCGTTTTCAAGGAACCCAGCCTAATTTAGTCTGGCTGCAGTGGTCTTGTCTAAAACTAAGGGGAAAGAAGCGGTAGCCAGAGTCAAAACAGAAGTCAGCTTTGAATGGGGTAGGAGGAATTGGGACGTTGTATTGTTTAGAGCTGTTCCTCTAGGCCAGTGGTGGCGAACCCATGGCACGCGTGCCACAGTGGGCACGCAGAGTCCTCCCTGTCGGCACATGAGCCAAGTCATTCCAGCATCCAAGCATCAGATAACAGTGCACATAAGGGCCATGCGCATGCTTGGAAAGGAGTAGCAGTGGCAGGCGATGACGTCACAAGCCACAACTCAGTAGCTGCGACTCGCCCAAGCTTTTGCATGGCCAGTCAGTGTACTGCCAAGGATATATATGCAAGTATATTTGCTTGGACTTGCTATGAGTTGTTTTTTTCTAAACTAAAACCTCAGTATTCAGGTCTGATTGCAGTGTTGGCACTTTGCGATAAATAAGCAGGTTTTGGGTTGCAGTTTGGGCACTTGGTCTCTAACAGGTTCGCCATCACTGCTCTAGGCAATGTAGAAAAAGGGCACAGGAATAGCAATTCTTAGGGTTTCTCTATCCATTCCTGTCTTTTTTGGCAGCTGGTAAAAAGGGCCTGTTTTCCATTTCTTTTAAGAACACCAGAGCCCTCCTATTGTTCATACATATTGTTTCCATGTGTACATAGACAAGGGAAACACTGCAATTATTCAGTGACTACTGGTGCAAAAACTAACACGAGAAGCCATCCAATTCACTTTGGGTTCAAATATGCCTTGAGAGATGAGCACAGGTGTGCCTGAAAATGAAAGAATCTTCTAGAAAAGGTTATGCTCAAACCTTGCTCAAAAGCATGCTCAAACCTTGGGCATGTCCAGTGGGATATTAAAAATTCCCCTCCTACCTTTTTCTTTGAGCAGCTGGCATCACACATTAATTTGAAACACTACTTTCAAAAGTCACTTGCATGTGGCATGTAGGGTATTCGGATGCATTTTATGCAAATGACATCATCATCAACAAAAACAAACATGGAGCTTGGCCACTATGGTGGGAACTCTGCTCTGTGTAAGTTAGAGGGCTTAGAATAATCTCTGATTCCTGTGCATTACAACTGCTGTTCCAACAGGATTTACGGAATAAAGTGACTTAAAAGATTGGAATCACATGAAATGAAAAGTAAAAATCTGCTAGAAATAGCATAGTTAACTATTTAAATAAGTGGTCAGATTATGCAGTCTCACAATTTATCAGTAAATATGTTAAGACAACATCCATTCAAGAAAAGTGAACAATGTGACCAACTATACATTTAAAGAATTCTCAAATGATGCTTTTATATATATAGGAATATTGATATTTTCTATTACTTTCAGCTTTGTTTGGGAGCAACTCCTGCCTTCTGTATTTTATTTGACAGCCACACAGCCCGATTTACTGATCCCTGCCTCAACCTGATTAGTTTTCTGTTCAAAGGTTATGCCCTTTCTGTTGCTGAACAGCCATGTAATGCAATATCTTGGTGAGAGACAAATTCATCAGTTTTAAATCAGTTTGTGTGGAGCCTCCACAGGGGTTTGAATTTCAGTCTATTTGCACATTCATGGTCCATTAAAAAGCACAGCACATTGCATTTTTTTTCCTGCTGGGAGTTTGGAGTGGGAGCTGTATTCTAAAGCCTTAAGAATATCATGGGATTTTTCAGGTTCATCACACATGTACTCTGAAAGGGCTTATTTTGGATAATGCCATCTACTAATTAGACCCCTACTCGTAAATGGCTTGGGGTCAAGTTGGCTGAAGGACAGTCTCATCTCATGTACATCTTCCCAGACTCTAAGACTTTCTGTAGTGGCCCTTCTTAGGAGACCCCAAAGGGGTAAATGGCCACTAGGGAAGAGGGCCTTTTCTACTGTGGCACCCCAGGGAAGCTCACTTGCCTCCAATGTTGTGTTCTTCCCAGAGGCATTTTAGTCCTTAGGTTCTTGCTGTTTTAAATCTCTATTTTATTTTCAAAATGCAATACTCTAGGTTTTATTTTGGTGTGCATGTGTGTGTGTGTGCGCGCGTGCCGGGGGCAGGGAGGGTCAAACTTTTATATTGTGTTTTATCATGTTATATTTTATGGATTTAATTACTGTGAACTGTCTAGAGCTTTGGTTATTGGACAGTATAGAAAAGAAATACAAAAATAAATTAATAGGAAGAGGGAAAAAAGGCCACTGATGACCAACCCATCCCTTTGCCACAGTCAAATAGTTCTACTTCCTCCCAACCCAAGAAGGTGAGGCTGACGGGAAAGAAAGCAGAGTTCTCCGTGCCCCTTCCCTGATGGAATAGGAACTCCGCCTCTACTGGAGTCTGGCTCAGGCTAGAACTTGGCGCAGTGGTCCAGGGTCCCACTCAGCAGAATGAGGCTTGCTCCCGAACTCAGCGAGGCTGGCTTATCACCTTTGGAAGTGAAGGAGGAAATATGACCACCTGAAGAGCCTCCTGCCCCAGTAGAAACATTGGCCTGAGGGCAGATGTGATGCTCCACAGGTGGTTCCCAGGGCTGCATTTTGTGCAGTCCCTACTGAGCAGTTTCGTAGGTTCCAAAATGTGCTTATTACAATAGTGACCCACCTCTCCTCCAAGGAGCTTAATGGATCTGCTGTCCCTGCCCCATTTTAGCCTCACAGCAACTCCCTAAGGTAGACCAAGCTGAGGGGTCACAACTACTTCATGAGTTTTATGGCTGGACAGACACTTATATGCAGCCCACTGCATCATACAAGTCCTAAAGATACAATTTAGTTTACATCACATTTGTTTCAGTGGCTCTTCTCTAATAGGATTAACAGTTAGGACCCATTGAAATTCTTACCCCAACAGTTTATTAACTCACTTCTTTGTTTTGAGTATCACACCGAGCATGATCTATTATACATCCAAAAGCAATACAAATGTTTTTATTATAAGGCATAATAATGGCATAATACCACCCCCACCCCCCCAAAACTCCCAAACCCTAAGAGTTTCTGAGCAGTATGCTTACCAAGTAAAGGGCAATTCCACCCCCAATTAAAAATCCACAATAAACATCGACTGGATGGTTTTTATACTGGGTGATGCGCGTCAGTCCACATATAATCCCACAGATGATAAAAGCGAATACTAGAAGTGGTTTCAGAAGTTTAGAGGAGTCAGTCAATGTAGAATTGAAGTACATCTTTAAAAGAAACACATTAAAAGAATTTACTAAAAAGTACCAGATATAGAATGCTTTCCTTTCCTTTCTTTTTTCCTTAATGTGGCAGTAAGAAAATCAAACATGGCATTAGGCAGTTGGTCTAAGTTGTCAGGATGACCGGGGTGGCCAATGTTTACAACCTTGATGGCTGCGTGAGGCGTCGAGCATGAATGGGGGAGAGTGTGTGTATGTGTACGCACACACACACGCACACACAGAGCAGCTCTTCCCCAGGAGCACATGCTGACTGTGGTATGGTGGTTGGCTATGAAGGAGGGCTCCTTTTCAGTGATGGCAGCCAAGTTGTGGAATGTCGTTTGCCAGGCCAGATACTGGCCTGGCATCTACAGTGTGGGCTTTGTGGCACCAGGCAAAGCCAATTTTCCCAGGGTTTTTAGCCTTTGATTTTAAAAATTGTGTTAAGGCACAATCCTAAGCATTTTTAGACAGAACCATGTCCCGGCTTTGCCAGCTATCAGTGGTGCTTATGCCTGGGAGAAAATAAAGGCCTGTTTACTGGAAAAGATAACAGTGTAGGTACCCGGTAAACCTTCTTGAGGTGGGTATTCTATAAATGAGGAGCTACAACCAAGAAGACCTCTTCTCTTAGTTTTTGTCAGTTCAGCAAATAGTAGGAAGAGACAGGGCAAAACTAGACTAATGTAGCATACAAAAGGTTGCACTATATGAGTTCAGAATTATCACCTGTAAAACTGCAATATATTCCCCCCCCCCCACATACCTTTTTTAGGATATGGTCAGAAAATAAACCCATCAATAAAATTTATTAAGAAGTTATTAAGTCATACCTCTTGGACTAGAGTCTGTAATACTATTGAGAAAGTTGGGAATATTTAGGGCACAATCCTATGGAAATCTAGACAGGGTCTTGACAGCCTTAGAATTATTTTCAGTCCCGCTTCCACCTTGGGAACTTGTTCTGAGGTCGGAGCTGAAATTCTGAACTCAGAGCATTCTCCCTCTTTCCTCCAAGCCGGCCTGCAGGATGCTGTGCTGGCTATGGCTCTGAGGTCCTAAATGTGACCTTCAAAGTAGCCTTTGGAGGGTGAGGATGAGGGTGGGAGTGGAGAAGACAGACTCTGCCAGCATGGTCAGCATTCTGGTCACTCCTTGACCTCTTCTCCTTCCACTCTGGGGCAAAACCCTAAATCAGTCAGGGCAGGGCAGGAGAAGCACAGAGACAACCTTTGCCTCTGCACTGCTTCGAACATCCATAGGATGTCTGTAATCCTCCCATGTTTGGAGGGTTATGAACAGCTTCATTGAATTGCCCTGTTAAATGCCATGCATAGCCACAAATTACCCATGCTTATTTATGTATTAGATGCAGATCAAAATGAATCTAGGACTGAGGATGCAATCCTATGCTACACTTACCTGGGAGTAAGCACCTCAATGAATGCAGTGTAGCTTATTTCTAAGTAAATTGTATAAGATTGTACTTTGAAAGATCCAAAATGTCTCATTCTGAACTTTCACTTTGGACTCCAGGGGCTTCATAAAATTAAAGGTTTCCATAAACAGAAAGAGGGTTCTCAGTAATTTTTACACATTAGTTTGTTCTCTGATTGCATACATACATTTTCAAACATAATTCAGTTTCTTTCATTGGTGCAGAAGGAGGATAAATCTAAGAGATTAGCATCAGTGTGAATTAGCTGTGTATCAATACGCTGTTTTTAAAAGTCTTTCATTCATTCATTCGGAAAGCAGAAACCATTTCATAAAAGAGGTGGTTTCTACAAATTTCCCCTCAATTTCCAATTTTTCCATTTCAGGTCTCTGAAAAATATGGTGAAAAGAGGAAGGTTTTGCTCATACCCAGCTGGACTTTACATTTTTATTCTTTATCAGCCTGCTTTGCAGCCAACATAAATGACATTCTGACTTTTCCCATTATTACGAAGAGGCTTAATTACTCACCGAAACATACACAGCTGCAAAAGCGGCCAGGGTGGCGTGTTGTGAAGGAAATGACTTTCTGCAAAGGAAGGGCACTCAAATTAAATTTCTCACTTAAAAATACATTCTGCTCAAGCTGGTTTAAAAATAACCAAAGCACTGGGTGGTCCAGTACAGCAGTCATGTTTAACTTACAAGCTGTAATTAGAGAAGTGATTATTACATTATTGAGTTTATTTTTTAAAAAAGAAATCCTTTTAATATTTTGGAGAGAATCATTGCTAAATCCCACATTAGCAAATATTAACAAATAATATATTTTGATAGCAGTGATTAAACTTGTGATCTCAAATAATCTGATGGTTTTTTAAAATAATGAACAGAAATTCTACATTTATACAAGAGAAAGAGTGCAGCACAATGGTCTAGGAACAGGTTATGAACTGGAAGGCATTGATTTTAGCAGTCATTTCAAAAAATCATTTATCTATCAATTAAAATGTTGAATGCACTGCCTCCCAATGGCCTGCAATGATTTTCTATCTGTGATCTGTTCCCCACATGGAGAGGGAGTTTCAGCTAATGGTCACAGTATGGTTGGCTTGAGTGTGCACATCTTGGTCTGCACCATCACCATCACCCATTTATCTGGCTTCTTTCCTCTTCCAAGGAAACTAAGGTGACAGACATGGTCCTCCTCTACCCCATTTTAGCATCACAACAAGAACCCCACCAGGCAGGGGAAGCTGAGAGTAAGTGACTGGTTCAAAGTCAGCTAGTAAGCTTCATGGCCAACTGGGTACTAGAATCTGGATCTCCAGGTCCCCAGACCAACATGCTAATCATCACATCATATATTTAAGGGTTTCATCATTGTTTTCAAAGAAAAGGCAAGTTCTTGGCATAAACTATGGGAAAATATCAGAAGCAGGCACAGGGGATGTCTCTCCACATCCAAGGCCAAGTTCACACATGCACGTGTATCACTTGATTTCTTCACATTCGATTACTCAGCACTGGATTATTCACAGCTGAGTATGTGAATAGAGTCACATATTAGGAAGAAATATGGAAATTCTATATCTTGGAGTTCTTATGGCCCCTTCGAACACACACACAAGTCACTGCTTGATGCTATGCCGATCAACTGATAAATCTGCACGCACGGATCAATCATAACAGAACTCTGGACAGAATTTGCAGCCAGTGGGCCAAAATAACTATATTCTTTCTGCAAATATTTGTAGATAAGATATGACAGAAAGGGGTACGATCCCTGAATGCTAGCCAATTATATAGGATTATTTGATACTGTGGGAACCGCTTCAGTATTCCAGTTCAAAACATCTGTATAATGCTATACAGGTCATTTGAAACACAGATGGAAACCCAAGAAACACAGTGCCATGGCTTGGGAAGCTGGACCGCAGTGTGGAAGGACAGGCCCCACACTTGCCCTTTGAGGCTTGATCTACAGTGCTGCCAGGGACAGAAACAGATTTCAGTAGCACATCACTGACCTGGGACCTCTAGTGGGTGATGAACACCTGAAAAGCAGTCCGGCTATTTCTGGGGGACAAATGGTGCCTTGCCCTTCTCCCACTCATCCCTTTTTGTATTTAGTTTCTGTCTCTTTGAAGTAACATTTTAATACCTCCTTTCTCTAAGAAGCACACCAAAGGGTATTGTTATCAAGTAAGTTTCTGAGATACCAAGGTCTGGTTTCTAAGGCACCTGACTATTAAACAGACACAATGCTGGGGAAAAAGACAACAACCATGAATGGCATATGGAAAGGCAGTAGAATCTGTGGAATATGGAAAATATAAACAGAAAATAGATGTGTGGAAGTGTGCCTCTTTTGATCGTCAAGGCATTATTCTGCATGGCATCAGGGATTTGAAATTAAGTTCTCAGGCTTTTATTTTAGGAACATTTTTGGTGCTCAACTTTCCTGATAATTCATGAAACCCTTGCCCAGTTTGTGCAAGTACTCTCATTTGTAGATCCTGCTTTCCTGCAGCTATAATCCCCAGTACTATTTTTTAATGAACATACAGAAAGACATTTCCATCTCCTTTGCAAATTCCAGGCACGCATCTTTTTCAAACGATGACTGTCTGTGTGTTTTGGGAGATGGAGTGAGAGTGAAAAAAAACTGTGTAGCTTCCTGTGATTGTTAACATGGCATGTTTTGAAGAAAGATCATTTGGACAAGCTTATAGAACAGACATATCTTTGAACACTTTTTCAAATCACACATTTTTGGCGACAGAAGGAACAGAGCTTGCTCCTCACATGTTTCAAGATCCTTGCCAGCTGTAGCCAGTTTACTTGGTACAAGTCTGAGGAACTGAACTGTTCAGCCATTTTTGGGTTGTTCTTAGTTTCTGCATAGGTAACAGTTTGTCCCAGAAGAACCTAAGCTTTAATGGAACCCAGTGAGAAGCAAATCCACTTCTATTGATGTACAAATCAATAGGTATAACTCATACAGGTGTAATCATGCAAATATTAACACATAGCTGGGCCAGAAACAGAACCCTCTTTTCTAGAAATCAGCAAGTATGCCTTCTTGAAATGTCACTGACACTAACCAGGCACCATTCCAGAGAAAGCTACTTGGCACTTGACAGATAAAAGCAGCTTGAACAAAGGGCAATTCACACCAACCCACCCCATCCTCCTCTTCTATCTCTGGAATAACATCCCATCCTCCTCCCCTCTTTTGGAGCATCTTCCTTCTAGTTCGGTATGCAAGCGAGAAAGATCACACCATTGTAAATTTTTTACTTCTCTAACTCATTAGAAAGTGTTAACTGTGTTATTTGTAACCCTTTAATGATCAATGTATAAAAGGGCCAACTGAGGACTGCTTAGGAGTGCCATCTGGAATGACTTGTTGGCAGCCGGTTATTTCCAAGAATAAATCTTTTAAAAGGAAAGAAAACCTTCCCCTGTTGGTTATTTTGGGCATACACACACCAGAACACGGACCATTTGGTCAACAGTATTGTCAACACTTTACCCTTTTGTCTTTCTTATTCTGCCTCTGAACGCTACAAAGACAAGTTCCAGTCTTACAAACACTTAGAGATGTTATGCATAAATGTATCTCCAAAGCTGTGGATAAAAAGAGATGGCAACACATTCTCAACAAAAGAACATACATTCTTTTTAAAGTATCTTTTTGTGTCTAACCTTCCATCATTGATGACCATGGGATCAGAACCTGAGCAAATATCTTCCACAATGTAAGAATTTTCTGAGCAGGATACATTGAGGGATGTATAGTTAGGTTTGCAGACAGTAAGGAAATACGGTGTTTGATATCCAGTTGACAGCTGTATGATATCTGTGATCAGAGCAGTGGCGCAAAGGCCAAACACATGGACACCTAGAAGTGGAGCAGAAGAAGGGTTACGTGTTTGGCTAAAGAGAGAGGGTGCTTTATTCTAGCCTACAAACTCGATTTGGTCTGCTTTCAAAATGTGCATTTTTAGGAGGTGCTTAGTAGTTTATTAAGAGCAATTCTCCCATCCCTTAATTTTAAATATTTTTTATGATTTAGCTGTGCTTTCAGATCTGTGCTGCTCTTACTATTAGATCAAGCACCCCAGTGCAGTTCTCCCCAGATGCTTTTACTACAACTTCCATAATCTCTGACCATTGTCAGGCTGATGGGATTAGAACCCAGAACATTTGGAGAATGTTCCAAGTTGGGGAAGGCTGTGCTAGATGATGCCGGCTTTATCATTCAAGCTGACTATTCATGAAGGGAGAAGCTTGTATAGTAAAGTGCACTTCTCTTTCTAGGTCCATCTGCAAACATCTGTGCCTAGATGCCAGAGTGCCTTCCTTCCTTGAGAACACAAAAACCAGTCATCTCTGCTCGAGTCAATATTGGAGCATCCAATTCAGAGCAGATATGTAGCTACAGGTTGGTATTTTGATCTTAAGTGCAAAATGTTCAATGATTTGGAAACCTCCTAAGCTAGGAAGCAATGTAGCACATGCAAAATAGATCCAGCAGTATACTCAAAACTAGATTTTGGGGCTTAGGTTGTTTTGGCCTTCAGACTTGATGGTTTAAGTTAAGCATCATGCTTGCTAAAGTCTGCCACAGAGGTTTCTTTCTTCCTCCTCCAGTATGGTGCTCAGCATTGCCTGAAAATACCCCCTGGGGCAGATTTTGAAGGTACACCACAGGCTGTAGTGCAAGGGCCAGGGAGTCACAGTCTGACACATCTAGGATCTGCAAGCCAGCACACCTCTGCAGGATGCCAGGTTGGAGAAGGCTGAATTAAACCCAGGAATTCTTCGACAAAAGGCATTAGCCCAAACCCACCAACAAATCGGACGGCTCTCCGGAGGAAGGAGTTGAAATTGCAGCCCCCTGCGTTGATATTGGCCTCGGCTCCGATTCTGCTCCGGCGTTTTGAAAGGCAGCAGTAGAGAATACCTTCACCCACCATAATCTGCAATGACAAAGGAAGGATGCAGGATAACGCTGGCGGGTCTGTGACCAGGGCATGACTTGATCTGAAGGACTTGTATATAATCAAAAAGGGAACAAACATCATTTGTGTGTTAACATTGCTTCGTGGAGATCTCTTCATTCAACTTTCCCGGACAGAGCATATACTCAGTTTTTATTATCTGGAAGCTCTTTGTTTGCTAGGGAGACATTCTGAACTGTTGGCTGAGAGACCGGCTTGCCTAGGATCTGATCCAACCATCTGATGCTGCCTTGTGGATTCTTGGATTGTAAAATAGGACATGAACTATTTTATTAAATATGAACCAACAGATGAACTGAGCTAAAGTCTACATATGACTACAATTCCCAGCATGCACAGATTTTCTCTCCTGTAGCAGTAGTTTAGGGTGCAATCCTATGCATTTTTGGAGAGAGAAAAAAGTCTGATAATTCCTAGCACTGCAGAAGTTGTTGCTTGTCTAAACACATACAAGACTGTGTCTTTAGTCTCATAACTCTGGGATGGTTTGCTTTGAGAGATGGCAACATGCCCAATACTTACCAGGGCTACAAGTACCTGCACATTTACCTATAGTAAGTTTCACTGAAATTGCCATGACTTAGTTCTGAGCAGACAAATTATGGACTGAGCTGTAATTACATCTGTAAGCAGTGTGGGAATATGGGCTCAGATTTGCCTTGGCCAAAGCTACAGTCTAGCAAGTGCTTCAGATTTTGAAAGGCCTTCTTTGGATGCAGTAATCAGGCTGAGCTGAAACAATCTGCCTCACTTTGTATTAGGTTAGGGAATGCCAAAGACACCTCTTGTTTTTGGCCATTTTCAACATGAGTTGCACACGTCTCCACATTGTCACCCCAGTGCTGTTGTGCTCTGCTCTATTTTCCGTCTTGGCTCTCAGTGTTTCCAACCTTGTTTGTGCTCACTGGCAATAAAATGGATTAGCTACGGTGACTGACCTGATTTTGTTAATAATATAATGCCATATCTAGTGCATGGTAATATCACAGATGCCCAGAAACAAAAACATGTGGGTTGCTAAGGAAAGCATCCGCTGCCAGGGGACAAGAAGGGGCACTGAACAGCAATGGAATGATGTGAATATTGAAAAGTTGAGGATTTCCTCGCTAGTCTAGGAAGCTGTTTGCACTGAATAAATTTTAAGGCAAATTTTATTTATCGTAAAATTAACAGCAACTTACAAAATAGCAATAAAGTAAAAATAGGGAAAAACCCTGAAAGCCACTGTGGATTACTCCTGTGTCCATAAGCCAGCCAGCCAGCCAGGCCTGCTTCCATGATGCACCATTCCATTCTTTCAGTTATCCAGGCCCACTGCCAAGAACCAGTCAGCATTCCATGGCTACCAGGCATCCTCAGTTTTCACTGGGCTGTTCCGGGATGTCTCCTTCTCACCTTATGATTTTTTTCCCCTACAGATGTTTTGCACTTCTGTAAATCTTGGGATCTCTTTGCTTATGTTACTAAAACAGCAGCACTCCCATGTAAGATGGAGGTAGCAAAACCACATGACTCCCTGTTGTATGTTGGTGGTGCCATTTTAGTTTACAGAAGCAACAGTACTCGCACCTGAACTTAAAAACTAAAGGAATTGTATGAAGTTCTTCTAGCTGTAACCTCTTCTGGGAGCAGCTGATCTAGGTCCATAAGAACAGTTGTGACCTGGTTATTAAAAAATAAAAAGGGGAATAAAGGGAATATGTTATTCAGGTACTGCTGCCTGCTTTCACACATTGCTTTTTGGGCTATATTCTAGTCCACCTAAAATGCTCCATTTAAAGGATCCTACACTTAACTTGCTCCAGAACAATTTAATCTTCCTCTGGGTGTTGTGAACTGTAAAAGAACTCAGGACCCACACATGGCATGTTCAGCCCTTGACAAAAGCAACTCCCAGAAGGTATACAATGAGTCATTGTTGATTTAACTGCACAAATGGAAAATTCATATCATATGATATTAAAATACATTTCAGCGCTAGTCAGCAAGTGATGTGTATGCATGAACCAGCCCTCATTCACTTAAAGCTGGCTCTTTTAGTTGGAAATTTGATCACAAAGAAGTGAACATGAGTCACCTAATTTATGAAGTATTATTATATATTGAGAGCCAGTGTGGTGTAGCGGTTAAGAGCGTGGGACTGAGACGACCTAGGTTCTAGTCCCCACTCAGCCACGGAGCCAACTGGGCGACTTTGAGCCAGTCATAGACTCTCAGCCCAACCTACCTCACAGGGTTGTTATTGTGGGGATAAGATGGAGGAGGAGAATGATGCAAGCTGCCTTGAGCCCTTTGTAGGAAAAAGGCAGGATATAAATCGGAAAATAAATACATAAAATAAAAGAAGCTGTTTCTGAAGTATTTTAAGTTTAAAGCCTCGGAAGTGAAAACAAAACAAACAGAATCATTCAAAGATCTTGCTTAAAGTTTAAATTAATAATTGTGGAAATCATTGCGACGCTGCTGATAGAGCAGACCTCCTGGTATGCAATGAAGTGAGGACAGTGGTACGACATACTTGCTAGACCCTTAACCCCCTCCCAGCTGCATTGTGTGCTGGGGGAATGGATTTTTCTTACTTCCCCTACAGCAAGAAAAAGGCAGTGAAGGTTGTGTAATTCCATGAGAACATATGGGGGACTTAAAGCCATTGTCAAAAATAGCATCTAACACTATAATCTGTCTCAGTTTAGCCATTATGATGATGAGGCGTTGATTAACAGTAACTACCGGGATATTAAATTAACATTTTCATTTTGCAGAGTTCTCAGTTGCTTTTGGCAATTCTGCCTGCACGCACCTCTCAGAAGAGGTAGATTTTTCTGTTACGGAAAAGCTATTTAATAAACACACCGTATCTCAGCACACCTCCTTGTTGACATTGACTTCTGATGGACAAGAACAAAGGCAGTCCTATTGAGGAACACTGCAGGAGTTCATAGCGCAACCTATTCCAACTAGATACCTCCTGGTTGGTTTGTCCTACAACTCCCATCAATGTTACCAAGTATGGCTAATGCTAAGGGATGATGGGAGTCATAGGCAGAGGGCTCTGAACCAGATCTAGAGATTTTTTTTCCAAACCACGCTGAAGTTCCATACCATTTTTGTATATTGCCTCAGTCTCTTCCTCTGTCAAATATAAATACTGAGGTTTTAATTTAAGCTGAAGCATAACATTGGAACAAATGAAGAAACAATAGAAAGAGTACCCCTAAGCATGTGCACTGTACAGTTCTGTCATTAGGGGCACTACTAAATATTGAAAGCATCTGGGGTTCATGCCCAAAGGACCCCCCCCCCAGCATAATTTTTCACATGCCAATTTGTATATGCTCTAAGGTGGATCCTGTCTCTTAAGGACATCCTGGCTTCAATAAAGGGATTATGTCGCTAAGGAAGAGGAGGAAATTTGACTTCAAGAAAAAATTCAGGCAGGAAGATTCACGGGGCGAAGGCTGCAGGAGGTGAAGCACAAGTAGGCACAAACCTCCAGCTAATCCAAGGGATCAGATGCAACAGAGATAATCAGGGCCCCGGTATCTTTATTTCAGCATGGGCAACAGGATGGTGAGGCAGGTGGGCTCCCAAAAATTCAGGGATCTAAATGAATGATTTAGGGGTTCAGCCGTAGTGACCACCCCCTAACACAACCTCTGCCTCTTATCACTAAGGCAATGCAGTGCAAAGCTGATACTGCAGAGAGAAAGGGGAGAAGCCAGTGGAGTGAAATGCACTTAAGGAAAAATGACAGCTTTGCTTTGAAATTAACCACCTGCTTCTGCATGGATCTGCCTGTGCACTATAGTCACTGTTGCCTTTTTTCTACTGTCAAGGGAACATCGCAAGGCATTAAGAGAAGTGAGATCTTGTAAAACTCACCGTAATAGCAGGTGCAGCGAAAGCCAAACTAAGCAACATTAAAAAAGGGACAGCTTCCTGTGAAGGTTCGATGTATGGCATACTCAGACTCCTGTCATAGCAGCTGAATCCAGCATGAACTGGCTTGAAGACATCAGTAAGCTCAAGGAAATAGAGGCTCACAACGGAAGATGCCAGAATGGGCAGCTGGGAAGGAAAAATGAAAAAGAGCTGTTAAAAGCGATGCATTCACTTTGGCTCAGATCTGCAAGTCTATCTAGAATTCAGGTCACAAAAATCCTTTCCACTTAACATGCTGTGCTAATAGGTTTCCATACTGACCCAAACTCTAAAAAAACGCTGGAAAATCACTGCCATTAAGGCCATATTATTCAGGACCCAGGAATAGGGTTTCTTGTCTGGTTCCAACTTTACAACTTGCCTCAGTGCTGGATGTCTTCCAGTGGTGAGCCTAAGTCACAGATTTGTCTGTACACTGGAATGGATGGATGGAATCCATGCTGCTGAAACTATCAACTGGAGTGACATTTCCACGTTGCAAGCACCCAACTATTACCTGGTTTTACTCAATGTCAGTGCCAGGATTGCGATTTCATTGCACCTGCGATTTCAATGGCAAAATAGTGAACCATTGCATTATGTATTCCTTCGACATCTGCCCCAATCTGGAACAGGCCTGTACGAGTGCCTTAGGTGGAGCAGGTAACTATGGATACTCCGCATTTTGTCCCATTTCCATGGTAATCAGCCACATTCATTCACATTTTATCATCTCCTCCCACTGGAATGGGCAAAAATATTTTTTTATTATAAAAAGTAATTTGCCTCTCTCAGCTACATTGGCTGTGGCTTGAAGTCCAGCCCCTATTCAAAGTGCTAGTGCTAACATTCAAAGCCGTAATCAGCTTGGGCACAGGATATCTAAAAGTTTACTTCATCCCATATGTACCTACCCAGACCCTGAGATCATCTTCAGAGGTCCTTCTCTGGGCACTGCTTCCAAAGGAAGTGAAGCAGGTAGCTACCAGAAGGAGGGCCTTTTTGGTTGTGGCACCCCACTTGTGGAGTACACCAAAGAAGTGTACCGGGCACCTACTTTATATTCTTTCTGGTGCCAGCTGAAGACCTTTTTTTTACTTTCCCAGTATTCTAGCAATTTATATTTTAATACTGCATTTTATTCTCAACCACTGGCATGCTTCTAAGCTGATTCAGTTGCAATTGCTATTGTGGTTTTGTTGTTCAAAAGTAATTTCTGTTTGTGTCCATGTATGTGTATGTGTAACTATTGTTAACTGCTCAGAGAGCCTTGTCTATGGGGTGTATGTAAATGAATGAATGAAATGAATGAATGAATGTTTTTAAAATTATACCTAGAAATGTCTCATAGAGTTATAGAAATGTCTCATAGAGTTATAGAGTATAGAAATGTCTTATAGAAATGTCTTATAGAGTATAGAAATGTCTTATATTAAATGTCAATAGAGCAAAGCACAAATTAGAGATTCCCCCTGACCTGATAGAACAGTCAATTTCCCATAGGAAATGATGCAAACAGGTAACTTTTCTGATACATTTAATCCTGGAAAGTCTAGGAACCACTGCCCCACTTTGAGAATACCTGCTAAACTGCTACAGGTTACTGTAGCAATCTACAATCCTTTCTACCTCCAATCTGGCAAGGGCTATCCTCAGACTGATTAACTCCTACTCTGCCAAATCACAGATGAATCCTTTTGGCTGCTTTCTGAGAATAAGTCACAGACCGCCCCCTGTGCCCTCTGCCCCCAGTTGAAATGTGGTTCAGCCAACACACCCTGTGCCTGGGACCCCTAATCATGAACATCATAAGTTATGATGGATCAAACCATTCAGTCTTAGAGAGCGACCCTGACTGCTCTTTAGAAAGGGAGATCCTGAAGATGAAACTCAAATACTTTGGCCACCTAATGAGAAGGAAGGACTCCCTGGAGAAGAGCCTAATGCTGGGAACAATTGACGGCAAAAGAAGAAGGGGACGGCAGAGAATGAGGTGGCTAGATGGAGTCACTGAAGCAGCCGGTGTGAGCTTAGGTGAACTCCAGGGGATGGTGGAGGACAGGAAGGCCTGGAGGAATGTTGTCTATGGGGTCACGATGGGTCAGTTGTGACTTTGCGACTAGCAACAACAAATAGCCACAACAGGGCTACTGAGAAACAAGAAGGAAATATCAGCTGTTTGGGGAATACCATCCTTTGCAGAAAGAGAAAAATACTTAGAAAAAAGAACTTAAGGGGGTTAGCCCCCCAAAAAACAGATGAACTGGGAGTGAGTCTGCTAAGTGGCCACAGAAATGCTGAGTATCTGTTGGCGTGTGAGTGCAGAAGTGGAAAATTGTGGGGGAGAAAATGAATTGGAGTGTTCTGGATAAAGACCACTCTTCCGAACATTCGTAGCAGTCTTCTGTAACTTGGTGCCTTCTTAATGCTTGCTAGGCATACTGGCAGCTACAGTCCGACATACAGCCAGTGGTTCTGGAATGGTCACAGTGTTGGACTGGGACTCAAGAGATCCAAGTTCTGGTTCCCAGTCAGCCACAGAGCTGAGTGACATTGGGTTGGTTCTGTACTCTCGGCCTAACCTACCTCGAAGGGCTGTTGTTTGGATAAAATGGAGAAGAAAAGCGCTTTGTCAGTTTCCTTGGGTCCCTTGCAAGAGGATGAATGGCAGGGTACTTACCTAATGTGATGTAATAATAATACCTGGAGGGCACCAGTTTCCTTTAAGTATTTCAAGCAAGATAAACATACTTAAAATTAATGTCTCGCCACAGTTGATTTATACATTACAAAATAATGTTTTAGATAATCTCCAAGCATGTTTTCAAATATTTATGCAGTTTATTGGAGTGGGAAGTCTCTTCCCTGTTTTTCATTGAACAGACTGCAGTTGCTAATTAAAGAAGGTAGAATTAATTTTATAGATCTTCGATATCATTAAGCTTATCTATTATTCTACACTCATCTAGTGCTAGCTGGCAGCATATTCCGCTTCAGTGATTGCTGGAGTCTGTCTGTGGACCACCACTGATGAGTTATTTGGCACTTCTTGCATTGCTGGAGCAAACACTTGATCCTTTACTGAAAGCCATGCCAACCATTGCTGTTTATCAAAGTCTTTGGCATGTAGTTAAGTCAATATTCAGGTCAGAGATGAATAGAATGAGGAACTAGAATACTCTCTGCAGTCTGATCGATGGATGGTCTCCTTCACTTCCACGTGTACAATTTCTTTAGATTTAAAAATGAGAGTGATCCAAACAAAAATGGATTTATCATGAATCTTGTACAATAAAGTGGCTCATTAAGAAGAAGCTAGCTAGCTCAGATAGATGCCGCCAATGCAATAAGGACAATGTCTCACTGAGATGACTGATGTGAGCCTGATCCAGAGAGGTTTCTTTTGGGTTGAAAATCATGGCTCATTTTGTTCTTGAAAAATCTGTGATGATACTAGATATCCATGCTTTTGAATTACACCCTTGAGGTGTGCGGATTAACAAATGGATAGCAAGAAGTGATACTAAAAGGTTCTTAGTAGATACTAAACAGTTGCAAAGAGACTGCTAGCTTGGAGGAAAAACTTCTACCACCTATTACTTAATGGTCCGAAGATTGCATGTCTCTTGTTACATTTAAGTATTTCTGTTACATCTGTTGGGAGTTATATGCATGCTTCTTTAGATATATGGACTGCTTCTATTAAGGTACATATTCAAAATGTGTTGTGTTCTTTTTTCTTGATATCAAAGGCAATGTGAATGAGAACGGTGTATTGCAAAGTTTGATTATCTCTCTCCCCCCCCCCCCTTTTTGGGCATTGTTATTTTTGGGTTGCAAACAAAATGCCTTTGAAGAATTGTAATACTGCATGTGGAGCAGCTGGGGTTGTTTTATATATATACATATATAGACTAAGTAGCTTGTTGGTTTTCCCTCCCCCTTTTTAGGGGAAATGGGATCAGTGAGTTTACTCTGGCTATTGTTTAGTAAATATGCCATTGAGTTGGATATATTTTCAGTGCAATCTTATGCATAAAGTACATGTGTCCCACTGAGTTCAATGAGATTTATTCTGGCTAAGTGTGTATAGGACTGCAACCAAATGATCTAATGATCATTAACAATGATCTAATAAGTGACATCCCTTTGGAAGAATTTATCTTCGGTGAGATTTGGTTGCAGTCCTATACACACTTAGCCGGAATAAATCTCATTGAAGTCAGTGGGACACATGTAGAACAGGACTACTTCCTTTGCCCTGTTTTGGTAGTCAGGAATCCTATTAACAAAACAATTCCCTTGAAAATTCAGCACCTGGGACACAAACATGAACAGTTTAAGAGCAGCATGTAGCCATTAGCAATAATACTTTGTAGCATAAGTTTCAGCCACTACATGTATTACTTTAAATAATTCTTGAAGCTATCTTTGAAATTAAACAGAAAACAAAACAAAAAAAAAATGTTATATGAACCTTAAACAATGAAGAGTAGAAAACATTTGAAATTTGCCAGGATTTATAATTTGCCCTTTGGCGTTGTTATACAGAATCTTAAATTAGATGTGAATTTTTATTTTAAAATGTGTGTGCTTTGATACTTTGATGTGTGTGATTTGGGATCTCCTCCTAAGTTGGATTCAAAACACAAACGCCAAATACTACTAAACACAAAACGAGCTCCATGTTGTTGTCTAAGAAGTGGGACCCTCGAACTGTGCATCAAGACATTGGTGTGGCCCTCTTGAATGCTTTCAAATGCTCTTAAAGCCTACACAAACTGGCTATTTTTGAACCCGATGTGAAGCCAGTGCCGCAAGCTCATCCCACTACTTTCCCTGTCAGCTACAACGGTTTCATACCTAATGTTTGTTTTGCTTTATAATGACTCAGCCATGATGGCTGTCCCAGCATAATGGATCCGTAAGGCTAAAAGGGGGTTGATAAATGTGCACAGATGAATCATTCCATGCCTTCCACACCACATCATTTGTCTCCCTCTATCTGTTTTTACAGAATGCCCAGTATGCTGCACCTGATTTAATGATCGCTGCTGTTGCACGGCACAATGTCCAGAACTGTCATGATTCCATGCAAAATCACACTTCGCTTGCTGTGACAGTGCAATGAAAATAAATTAAATAGC